ACAAAAGCAAAAGAAGAAGAAGAAAATTACAGTGTGTATGAAAAGAAAAGTAAAGAGTTATGTAGACAATACCTATCAAAACGAGTTGAGCTCTGATACCATGCCAACACCAATGCACAGAGGAGTAAAATGACTTCCATAGACACCATCCATAAGGATGTGAATGAAGTAGAACATTGAAATTGGGGAAAATCAATCTAATCTATTTCATTGCAACTGTACACGTATTTATACAAGAAGAGAAAGAAATATCTAACTTGTAACTACCTTATAACTGTCAATGAGCAGGAAGCTACAACTCACACTAACTAACAAAATAACCAACTGGTCTAACTAACTAACTGAGAATTAATTAACTAATAACATTTAATTAACTAATCTATTCTCAATAATACTTATAACATAAAAAAGATGTTACGAAATTATGCAATGAAATTCAGTAGCATTTATTTACTTCTTTAATTTTTTCACTTCATCATTCTTACAAGATGCAACACCCGGAAACTAGTAAGTTAAACTAGAGCTTTACGTGAAAGTTCTAGAGTTTGATGTGTGGGTTAGAATCGTAAAATGACTTTCTGTACTTAGAATAAATGTTTTAGGGCTAGGGCGTCAAGGTACGACCCCCCAAGGACCAACCAAGGGTCCTTGAGGGGGACCCAAAACAGTCCCTAGAAGCTGCCCAAAAACGGGCCACCTACGGATGGGACTCACGCCCTGTAGGTGGACCCACGCCCCGTGGGAAGAGGTCGTGGGTCAAGGCCCCAAGTTGTTGAGTTGCAGGCCACCACCTACGAAGGAGCAGCACACTCCGTGGACCCTGTCACGGTCCATGGGTCGGGGTCTCGTGGGTTGGGGTAATGTTGGTCCTAGACGGTTTAAGTTGGGGACTTAGAGGTTAGTCCATAATTAGTTAGAGGTTAAGTGGTGTCATTTTATTAGTAATTAGACCACCTATATAAACCTAATAGACCCCTAAACTAAATCAATTAAGTCATTCTTCCAATACCCCAAAACAAACCCAATTCCCTCCAAGAAAACTTCTCTCTAGAAAACTCAAGAAGAAGAAGAGAAGCAATCTAGGTCAAAGTCCTCCATTGTTGCAAACATTATGAGGGCTTTATAATCAAGGTATGTTAGCTTATTCATTCATGGATACTTCCATCCATGTAGCCCCTTAGAATTCCCCCAATTGTGAAGATGAACCCCATCTAAGCTAGGGTTTCTTCCTATGTTGTGGGTAGTGTTGAGTATGATTCCAATTGAGTGGATAGTACTTGTTTATGATTGATTTAGTATTGAATTAAGATATTATTATGATATTATGTGTTTTCCATAGTTAACCCTAGTCTAATTGATGAAATTGGAGAATGTGGGTTTATGTCTTGTGAGGGAAAATTGAGGATTCATAGGTGATCTTCTAGAATTGATTACATGTATAGAAATTGATCAAGAATAGAATTATGTAAACATGAATTGAATTAGATTAAAAGATTATATGATGGATCTTAACTAGTGATGAGTGAGATTGAGTCTTTATGATGATTTATGACTAGAATCACTTGATAATAAAGAATATGATTAGAAAGTCTTGAAATCTAGGTATGAATGGTGATTGTAAGAATTAAAGCTTTGAATGTAAGGCTTGTAGTCATGAATGTTGGTCACTAGGGTTTTGAGAGTAAAGCCAATATGATGAACTATGTATGTTAAGGCTTTGAGAGTAAAATCTATATGAGAATAAAAAGCTAATGAATAAAATTGGATATGAAATACTTTTACCTACCTAATCTACCTCATGAATGTTTGAATGCATAAGGTGATAGAATCACATGAGTTAAGATGATATCCATGTCTAGTGCTTGAAACCTAAGGGTGATGATTGAAAGTAAGTCTTGAACCTCAAGGAGGTGAATTAGGAGATTGTACTTATAGTAATTGAACTATTTGAATCATGTTAACATCCATGTCTAATGTAGTAATTCTAGATGTGTTGATTGAATATGACATATGGTCCTTGAAGGGCAAATTATGAGAATTATGCATGATTATGAGATTTATGTATATGCTTTAAGAACACTTTGAGAGTGAAGTGTCTATGATTATGATGATGTTGTTGTGTTGATTGAAAGGCTATTCTCATGAACACACAATGAATTAATATAATGTGAAAGGTTTTCTCATAATATGATGATTCTAAGGTTGAAAGGCTATTCTCACCTATTGAATCTTATGAATTATGATGGATTTAGTGTCAAGGCATTCTTCCATGACTATGAACTTAAGTCAAGAATAATATGTACCCCGTGGGAATTATGCTTAGCACCGAGTGGACATTGAATATGAGATCGAAGCTCCCCCGTTAGAAAGAGCGGGTTTCTAGAAAGTATCTCATGAGATCGAAGCTCCCCCATTAGAAAGGGCTGGTTTCTAGAAAGTATCTCCTTGGGATGGAAGCTCCCCCGTCAGAAAGGGCGAGTTTCTAGTAGCAATCCACATATCCCATATACTACGTGCCCCCGTAGGTTATTTAGCTATTGAATCCACCTAAAAGCTAATATATGTTAGTTCTACCTTAGGCAAGTAGGACACCTCTTTTCAGTGTGGGCATGACACCCGATTCCCATGCTAAGCTCACATGGTCTATGTCGGTTAAGGCTTATTCCCACTAGAATAAGAATATGAATTATGAACTATGATTACTCAAGAAGCTTTACTTAGTGTGTGTGAGAGTATGAGATCTTATTCATGCATTGCACAAGTATGCTTTGAGGGTAGTTGTGGTATGTTACTTTTATGTTATGATGGTCTATGTGATGAATAGACTTATGACTTATGCTTATGACGTATGCTTAGTTTGGATTGTAGCTTGAAAGGCCCTTCCAATATATGTGTGACTAAATGTGAGTGTTCCCTTATCTATGAGAACAAAAGATGATAAACATGAATGAAGAACCTAAAGTGTCGAGCTTAGCATGGATAAGATTATGGGGTCTTGTTCATGCATGGCACAAGCTTGCCTTGAGGTGACTCATGAAGTGTTTCTCTTATATGATGTATGCTTAGATATGATTGTGCTATAGTTGCCTTCCTTGTTATGTTATAATTGACTAAAAGTGAGAGATTTCCTTGGTTATGAGAATTATACTAAGGATGAGGTCCTAAGATGGTAAGTATGACTATGATGACCAAAGGGGATACTTAGCATGTATAGGATTATGGGATCATATCCATGCATTGCACAAGTATACTTGGAGGTTCCTTATGAAATGGTTCTCTTGTGTTATGAAAGTCTAAGTATTGACTATATATATGAACTATGCTTTATGATGACTAATGTTTACATTATGTTTATGTTGGAAATTATGCTTATGAATATGCTATTGCCTCTTATGATTTTGGCTTATGTATTATATTGACCAACTCTTATGTTATGCTCTTATGATGTTATGCTAGATATCATATTTAGTACTTTTGTACTAACGCATACTTTTGCCTACATTCTTATCAAATGTAGGGTTCGGTGATTTTGAGTTCCATTCTTGAGGATATGTTTCTAAGGAGCAAGGGGTTGAAGACTTGGTGAGTCCTCATAGCTTCGGGGACAACACCACCATTTCCTTAATGCCTTTCTTTATGTTTTGAGACTATTGTATGGGCAGCGTCCCAAAGGTTTTATTCAAAGTTGAGTTTAGATGGTTTGAGACAAAGTGTAGTAAGACTTCCGTTTGCTTTTATAGAAGACTTCGATTGTATGGATAAAGTTTTAAAATTTTCCGTACTTTTCTATTATCTTATGTTATGATATGCTAAGGGATTGTATGAGACCCCTTCGGGGTCAAATACGTCATATTACATCTAGGGTGTACCCCTGGGTCATGACACAAGAGGAAGTTCTAGCTAAATTGAAAGGCACTTCATGATTTTTTATTTTTTTTTTATTTTTAAATACACTTCATGCATTAGGTAAGCCATTTTTGTGGTTATACTATAAATAGTATTTCCTCTTCTAAATTTATTTATTTGATTTTGATTTGACACGAAGTTTAAGAAAATAAAATTAAAATTAAAATTTTGTGACCTGAAATCAAAGATATGTAGTTTTATGATCTTAAACATGTCATACTGAAGTTGAGATTAAAAAATCTCATAGGAAAGAAATATATATTTTTTAAAATGGACTAAAAATAAAAGTAAGATAAACAAATTAAAACAAATGAAATACTCTATTTTAATATATTTTAAAATAAATATTATTTTTTAATTTAAATATATATAATTTAATTTAAAATTTTCTCTTCTTATCTTGAACGTAACTATTCATAACCGTATAAATATCTAAAATATTTATATACTCAAACGTATCATCGATCACTACAGAAATTGAGATGGATGGTGTACAATAGACTTCCTCATAAAATAAAGATTTTAATTCATTGGCAATTGGCAGTGAGTAAGCATGAAAATCATACGTTTTCATATGCATACATGCAAAGCTGAGGATCAACCACGAATGCACATATGACAAATAGGTCTCCGTCTATAAGTAGGCGCGATAAAAAATTACTGACGGACACAATTTTATAGTTAAACAGTAAAAGAATTTATATTAATCTCATTTAGCTATGAATTAACTATAAATTATTAAAGAATTCAATATAATTACCTAAAAGTGTTTAAGCAATGAATTAACTAGAAATTTTATAATTAATTTGATGTTTCTTGTAGTAGTGTCAATTCCTTGTGTCACTCCTAGCTGTTTTTATAACATCAATGCAACAATTTCCTAAATTTCATGAGTTTCCTCTCTTAAGTCCCCACTCCCCTATTTTCCTCCAAAATCATCCTTCACTCTTGGGAAAGGCCACATTTTGTCTCCTCCAATATTTTATTCAATATTCACACCGCCACATTGATTTCACCAATATAAAAGCATCTTATTTTTATTATTAAGTCCTACCATATATTCTTCATCTAAAGATTGAAATATTTAGAAATTAATGGTGGAATTTGAAGAAATTATGGAGCCTTTGAGCCCGATAAACAGCGAAGAGATTATTGAGGATGAAGAAATCAACTACGATGATCTGAAACGTCGTATGTGGGAGGATCGCATGCGAATGCAAATACTCAAGAGGGACATGATCATCAACTCTACTAGCGAAGAATTATCACTTGATCAGGAGTCAGAGGAGGAGTCAGAGGCTAAGCAAGAACAATCTCGCCGTAAGAAGATGTCTAGAGCTCAAGACTCCATCCTCAAGTACATGGTCAAAATTATGGAGATTTGTAAAGGTCAAGGCTTCGTCTATGGGATAGTACCCGAAAAGGGGAAGCCCGTGACGGGGTCATCGGATAGTTTAAGAGAGTGGTGGAAGGACAAAGTGAGGTTTGAGAAGAATGCCCCAAATGCTATCTTGCCTAAACTAGTTCAAGAAAATCATGTTAATTCATGCATGGATCTTCTAAATGACTTGCAAGATACTACTTTGGGTTCACTCCTTTCATCTCTTATGCAACATTGTATTCCTCCACAAAGGAGGTTCCCTTTGGATAAAGGCTTAGCTCCACCATGGTGGCCTACAGGGAAGGAACTATGGTGGGGTGATCAAGGGTTTTCACAACAACAAGGACCACCACCATATAAGAAGCCTCATGACTTGAAAAAAGCATGGAAGGTTAGTGTTTTGGCTGGAATTATCAAACATATGTCGGTTAATTTCGACAAAATGAGGATGTTGGTGAAGCAATCAAAGAGCTTGCAAAACAAGATGACGGCTAAAGAAACAGCTACTTGGTCTAAAGTGGTTAATCAAGAAGAAGTCCTTGTCGAGATGACCCAAAAATCTCTCAGGATCATTTCGATATCAAAAGAGGAAGAAGATGATGAATATCTTGCTTTGAGGAGAAAAGAGAAAAGGAAGGGTACTGTGTTTGAGAGCGACATAGACATTGATGATATGTTATATCAAAACTTAAATTGCGTGCAAAGTGAGTTAGGAGTTGGATTTTATCGCACTATGAATGAACAACAAAGTGTCAGGGGAGAGGACGAGTCACTTAATATGTTCATGAGCAATTTTACTAGCTTGATTGGAAGACAACCTAGACCACACGAAGAAATAATGGTTGGTGATGATCATCATGGCGAACATGATTGGGTGAACATGGAGATAAAAAGAACCTTCGAGAACTACCATATTGCACAAAATGCTAATGGAGGATCAGTTGAGGAGAATTTCCAAGGCTTTTGGGGAGACAATAATAATGTCCTTCATTATGGAAACATCATGAACTTGAATGATACACCAAAAGAAAATGAACAGCATCAATCTCCCCTCTCTGTTTGGGATTTGGCATATGAGGATACATCGGAATAAATCTAGCTTTAGCTAAAATAAATAATTCGCGTGTGTGTGTGTTTTCCCTAGATTACTCGCATTTCATGTTTTAGACACGGTTTATCATATAAATAAACTACGTACTATAGCGTCATTATCTTTTCTTATTTGCTCTTTTTTTTTTCAATTTCCCCCTTTGATGTTATCATGCTTTACAACTTGATGGGATAATTAATAGGGGGAATCCATCTTTAATTTGTCCCTCAAGTTACAACATACAACATATACCTAATGAGGTTAGAGGTAGTTAATTTCCGATATATTGTCCCAAGCTAGCTAGAGAAATAGAAGAAGATATTTATTATAGTTAGAGTGGTACTGTATTTCAATAATCATAAAAGCTGTGTCTCTGGGGTATAAAATCGTCATAGTGATCCATCCTATTAGCAATGCAAGAAAAGCCCTTTCTAAATTTGGAGTTATTCTTCTTGACTAGCTCTGCCTCCACCTCTACATCCACCGCGAAAACAGAACAAACTGGTCTATGATCTGAAAATCTTGATTCCCCTCGAATATAAGATAATTGTTCAATGCCATCGCCTCGCCATAATATTCTATCACACCTGAAATTAATTAGTACTATAAATCATGAGGAGGATAATTAAGAGATGAAAAGGTAAGAGATATACCATGCAGGGGTTCTTCGTTTCTTCTTAGACTTTGTTGTCTCTCCGGCATAGGAATCAGAATTATGAGAATACTTATATGTTGGAGCGAAAAGGATCTTCCCTTCTTTCCACCCACTAAACACTCTTCCTGATTCTCTCTCCACATTCAACTGTCACCAACATAAATATGAACCAACGATTTAGGATACAATATTGCACTCACTTTAAAACTACGAAAAATTAATTCCCCCTTTTTGAGGAAATAGTACAATATATCCCTTGTAGTTCAAATTAAAAAAGAAAAAAGCACCAAACCTGATCCTTTTCCAAAAGAGAGTCCCAGTCATTATCCTCTAAAAGAAGCCTTGTTTCTTCATAGCTCAAAGACACTCGATAGTTCAAGTCTCCAAGCCATATTGCACGCCTGAAATTTATTCAGCTCTACAATATATAAATGTGATATTGATAATATTGAGTGAGTTCGTTGGACAAAAACTCCATACGCCTCTTGGTATAATAAGTAGTAATTCTCTAGCTAGCTCATAGTTATTAGTAATATAACAAACACAAAGTGTATTGATTGGGAAAAGAAAATAACTTACTGGTGATCAGTAATTTTTTCTGCGATTCCTCTATCGGGATTCCTACAAATTCTGGAAAATTGTATGCTTTTAAGAATCTCAGCAACATCTGCATTTCTTCTTAGCTCATCTCCTTCTTTCTCCCCAGACGCTAAGTGACTGCACACAAAGCAAAAGCTCGTCCGATACAATGACATGCTTATTGCTATACACCCCTGCATATTAAATTACAAGATTTGAGGGTATAACTTTAGGTACGAATAGTCGAATATGGGTATAGGGATTTGGCTAAAAATAGAGTTTTATGTCTAAATTATGTAGAAAACTAACAAGGTATCCCGAGGAGAAAATATTGAGAATATCACAAGGAGAATAAGGAAAAGGACTTGACATAAATAATAATAATTATATACTCCCTAGGTATTCTGATCTATTTTCTTCAATTTCACCATAGGGGTTTATTTGATTATGTACGGAAATCATTGTATCTATTCAAAATTTCTCCATCGATTCTAGTCAAAGTATCCAAAATTAATTGACTAGAACCAATACTAATCCCATACCCACACCTATGTCATGTAAACATGGGTGTGATGCCAAAAATGAGGAATCCAAACAACTTAGATATTCACAATTTGAAATTTATGGACTTCCTACAACAACCTCAAATTATAAGTATACAATGAGTAATAGTTATATTTACAATCAAATATTTATAAATTTTAAGTGATACTTAATACATATATAAGACAGACACGAAGACACACAAAAAAATTGTACTATTTACAAAAGTTTTTAAAATCTCTTGGCATAATCTTTTTTCCCCCTAAATTCCTAACTCCGACATTAATATAAGGTATTTGCAAAAGTTACTGAATTCACGAAAGCTATTTCCCAAAGAAAATGTGCTTCTTAACAAGCAACATTGGTAACACGAAAGCTCATTTCTATCATATTAAATATTCCAATCTACTATACCTACCATATTCAAATTGGAAAAAAAAAAAAAAAGGAAGATTGAATAGAATAGTCAAATATCAAAAAAGTTTCTTTCACAAACCTTATTTCCAAGACAACCCATGATACCTCTACCAAGAGAAGATATTCTGAGATGTCCAATATGTTGTGCTAACTCTTTTCGTGCCCAAACTGAAAGGAAAATCCCAACCATTTGCTTGCTTGATATAAGATGATAACTCAAACCATAATTAGTACAAGGAAATTTCTGAGCAATCGACTGTAAATCGTCTTCGCGAAAATGTGTCAAGAGAGAACATGAAGGATCACTAAGCTTTCTCAAACGTCTTGTTGTTGAAGGACAATTACATGTCTTGAGGAGGTTACTATTAGCCTTTAAACTCTTTTTAACAACTTTAAGAGAATGCTTATTGAATAAACTGTTGGATTTTGAACTGCTTGAATCATCATGATTATATGATGATTTGTTAAGTGCATGGCTTATAAGTGCTAGCCATCTTGCTGCTGGTTCACTATCTTCACTCACTAATACATTTCCTGCATTTAAGGGTACAATTTCTTGAAACCTGAAAAATAAGGCATGTCACATCTTGTAAGGCCCTAGATAAATACTCACTCCGTTTCAATTTGTTTGTCTGATTTTGATTTGACATCACGGAATTTAAGAAAGTAAAGAAGACTTTTGAATCTTATGATTTTCAACTAAAGATATGCATGCCGACTGTACCAAAATATTTTTTAATCTTCTGGTCTGAAACATGTCACGTGTGAAAAGTTAAAATGAAAAAGTTGTCAAAAAAGGGAATGCATTCCCGTTGAGATGGACTAAAAAGGAAAATAAGACAGACAAATTGAAATAGAGGACGGAGTAATAGATGTTGAAGTTATCATACCCCAAAACATATATATCTGCAGAACCTTCCACTTGCAAGAAATCTTCAAGATTAAGTCCATGATTAGGAGTTTTTCCTCCTACATTCCATGTCCCAGCAAAAACCCTAAAATTTTCCAGTCACATATATATATATATATACATATACATACATATCCTAGTTAATTAATTCTAGTAAGTTAACAATTCATTTGTAAATCAAGAAAAATCATACCTAATATTTTTAATCATAGTAGCAGGTTGTGTTGACTGATCAAAATTGGAAAGATTTAGGCCTTCAATCCTTGCACTATTATGCCTTGCTGAGAGTAGATAAGAAATTAGTATCATGGTTGTTGTGGTTTGGATTTTCTTACAATCTTCAGTTTGAAATTAAAAGGTATGGATTTTATAGGGAAATTTATCAATAGGTACCGTTCGGCCAAATTTATTTATCAACATGATCAAAATATATACTGATTATGTATATATATTATATGTATATCGTATGTACTCATGTATATAGATACTGACAGAAGTGTTTGGAGCGGTAAGATCCCTATTTTAGATATATAACTTTTTTCAGTGGGCAAAGTCCTCACAGGTCAAATTTCTACACAAGAAAAACTACTTCCACGTTATTTTCATTTTACAACAGTATAGTGAAAAGAAATAGTATTTGCAAATAATCAAAATACAATTTAGTCTTCTGTTAGGTGAGCTACCAATATTATGCTATAAATGAAGCTAAGCAGATTATGGAGAAGATACCTAATTAAGTGTACGTGGCTAACACACATTAAATGATTGAAATTTCTTAATATTAACGCATCTACACGCATGCTGTATTTATATTAAATCAATGAATGTAATATACGTGCTTTTATTAATTTAACCATGATTAAGTGTCATATTTTCTCTCAACAAACTGATAAATTTTAAAGAGCATCGGTTAGGATAAACATCTAGTGAACAAAGGAGAATTTGTAATACTGCAATCGGATACATCTGAATTCAATACTTTCGATACACAATTGTATGTAAATAGCTTACTAAAATTGCAACATATAGTAAGTTTGAGCTTATAATTTAAAGAACATAATGTATTCAATATTGATAACCTTAAAGAATACCCCATAAATATTTATTATAAACCTGGTGTTGTATACGTTTGAATTAAAATGGCGTGTAAGACTAAATGCACCATTAACTATAGCTATATATTGATAACCTTAGTCAAATATGTAAATGAAGGGTGAAAGGTGACGAAGAAAGTAGAGAAAGACGACTAATTACACGAGATACATGTCATCTCTCACCAGCAACAAGTATTAGGTAACTCTGTCCACCAAAATTAGAATAGATAAGAAGAACCACCTAGCTAGTGTTTTTTAAAGACCTCGAGATTCTCAACCACTTCATTGACCACTAGACCACACTCTTAAATATATGATATTGTTTTTCCTCATATAACAACCTAGATTAAAAAAAGACTTGTAGAATCATCAAAAGCACAAATATAAAACTTTATATCTAGATACGTTACTTTAACATGAACATACGTACAATGGATAAATTTAAATAATAAAATTCCATCATGCACAAGAAAAGTTCATAAAAAATTATAACTATTTCTCATGTAATTTAATACTAAAAACAAGTTGGTGATGATGATTCCTACCTGTAAAACTTCCCTTTACTGAAGGAGAAGTTTCAAATAAAACTTTTCTCCTTGATATAATCTTCCAATCCACTTCAAAAAATAAAATAAAAAATCAATTACAATATAAAATATATACATAAAATTCAAAAAATAAAATAATAATTGTAAATCAAACCTTGATCATTTTTTTCTGATTGTGTTACATCCTCTTCAAAACTTCCTCCAATGCTTTTTGAATTAATAAGCTTTGGTATGCCAGACTTTTATTCAAACATCATTAAAAAAATATATATCAAAAATTTATTTTATTTTAAAAAAAAATCTTAAAATAAATAAATTGTACCTTGTTCCTTTCATGACCCTTGACACAATTGTCAAGGGTGGTGGTTGTGGTGGGGGGGACG